TCCCCTCGCGCACTACCATCGGGGGGGGGGGGGGGGGGGGGGGTACAGACATATCGTGCACGTGTAGGGCGGGCGGGGGATACGATTTGTCATTTCATGCATGGGGGGTGATGATTGTCGTGCTCAAGCATGCCACAATAAAGTCTTAAGCGCGTTAACTACTTCAGGTCGCCCTTGGAACACTAAATCCCAGAGCAGCAAAAAAACATGCTAGAGTACTGCTGTACTGCTGCTGTAAGGTCGTCCGTCGCCCTGAGGCACGAAGTCGGGGTGGGCTGGGGTCGTTCGTAACCCTAGGAGGCGTGCAAAGCCCAACCAGCCGTCGGGGGTAGGTTCAGAGGCAAGCCTGCATAACAGCAGTTCTGTGAGCGAACGACCACAGAAAAATCAACCAGAAAAAGTGACCAGAAAAACAACAACAAAAAAGTAGCCCCGTGTGGCGTTTCCTCCTGCTATGTGATGATCCCCGGATGATGATGCTTCCGGAAAATATTTCTACCGCAAGGTGGAACAACGGGACCAAACAGACACACAATACACACAATCAGGCGTTCGGTAGAAACGTTCGACGAGACTCACGAGCGGCCGGAGGTACGCTTGGGAGACACGCCTCCAAGACTGACGTCTTTTCATTGGTCTGCAGGCGATAGCATCGATAATTACAACACACACAAGCACAGCCAAAAACAAAAATGCCATGTACATGTAAGCCAAAACACACACACACATACACACAATCAGGCGGTCGGTAGATACGTTCGAAAAGTTCTCACCAGCGGGCGGAGGTAAGCTTCGGAGACACGCCTCCACGACAGCGGGCCGGCCCGCGAGGACTGCTGCCGCGGCTGTCCATCCCCGTCCATGAAAAGCTTCAGGCCCTCATCCAACACCTCGATGTCTTCCATGGCCATCCTCAGCTGATGACATTTTGATTTGACCAATCAAAGGCGGAACATACATAGGTGAGAGGTCGTATGGTACAGTAGCGTGGGTGGGAGTGAGACAGCAGTATGGGGTGGATGACAGTTTGGGGCGTGTGCCGGGCAAGGTCGGAGCCTTGTCTTGACCTCAAGACTCGCCGCACGTGCACGCAGGAGTTGCCTGCCCCCTGCTACAAGTTGCGACGTACGTGTTGTAGTGCAGCCTGCTGCGAACAGGGATCGGTCGCTCCTACCGTTGTTCTTCTTTGTGCCAAGAACGAAAATGAAAAAACATCCATCAAGAATTAGAAATGTATTAGGAAAAAATGAACACACACAGAAAGACTAAATATTGTACCCATTCGAGATATACCCGCAGTCGAATATTTCTTTTCTTTCAAATACAAAGAATGAAAATATTTTACGTGGGTTGTGAGTTGTGAGTCTGTTGCGAACAGAGATCTGTCATTTGCTATTGATATCGACGAGCGAAGAACGAACGAACATTACTAGCTGTATGGATTGGTCATCCCTTGGCCCCCTTGTGAGTGAAAGAACGGACGAAAAAAAAGAAAAGCCCACTAGAAAAAGAACACGGAGGCTCTTGTTCTTGGACGACATGAGTGGTCGGCTATACCTTCGCCTCCTGCTAAAAGTGATGAACGGACAAAAAAAAATTTGACTCAATTTGAAACAGAACACGGAGATTATTTTTCTTGGACGACATGATTGGTTGGTTTTTTTATCACCTTCGCCTCCGAAGAGTTAGCCCGCAGCTCGGCCTCTACCGCGCTCTCCTTCAAAGCCGACAGCTCCTCCAGCAGCGAGGTGCTAGGCACACACAGAAGCACATCAACGAAGCCGATGTGCCATGCACACGCGTCAGTCAACACACGAACGCAACGATAAGGGGCATGCAGGGAGCAGAGGGCAGAGACCCGAGCGGGGCAAAAGCGGAAACAAAGGTGGCATACGCATCAGTCAAACCGGTTGCTTGCTTGTCCCCTTGCAATCCATATCAGGTGGCGTTCCCAGGGGTGGGTATGAGGGGGGCTGCAACGGCCGCTATCATAAGCGTCCACGATCCACCGATGGCGGATTGATTTCTCGGGACGAAGGCCCCCTCAATCTGTCCCGGAAGTTTCCAGGCCTCCCCGAACCCAACCCCACAAGAGGGGAACCACCCACGGGAATGGATGGGTGTACACGTGCAACGGGAATGGCAACTCTCCCGCTTGTGTCTACAGAGTGGCCCGCTGCCACAACCGAGAGGCCCGTGTGGAACAACACACACACACGTTTACACAAAAATCAGAGGGCTTAAAAACACACACCCCCAACACGAGGAAAACCGTATGATGCCACCGTACGGACAGCGCATGACACACTCATAACCCTCCCCTCCAAACCACATGTCTCCAACCCCTCTCCCCCCCAAGGACGATGACGAGCTTATGGTCCATCCTTATCCGTGTGAAACGTAGCCTGGGCCGGCGAAAAAACCGGCGAAATCGCCACGTCCTGGTAGTATCGGTGTGCGAGGTCAATGGTCGAACGACTACGACATGCGTTTACATGAACCCCCCCCGTCCTCCCGGACCCCGCCCCGCACCTGTTCGTCTGCGCCGCCGCGAGCTGCCCCTTGAGCTCCTCCCGCTCCAACCCTAGCGAGACAAGCCACTGCCCCGCCGCCGTAGCGTTCTCCTTGGCCGACTCCGCCTGCCGCAGGGCGAACGCCTCTGCCTTCTCCGTCTTTTCCTCCGCGGCTGTGGCCGCCGCCAGCGCCGCCGCCTTTCCTTCCTCCTCCTCCTTGAGAGCGGTCCTGTCGCGTCGTTTTTCGGGAGAAGAAGGTCCCAGCCGCAGGCCGGCTTGTTGGTGCTACAATGGCCCTTGTTTGTACAGCACGTGTCGCCCCCGCCTTTGCGGACACTCGCTCTTATTCATAAAATGAAAAATGCCTAAAAAGCGGAGAACTTGTCCATGAACGGATGCCTACCCCCCTATGCTGTTCTTACCTTTTGCCGGGCACCACGCTTCTGACAAACCATGGTGCCCTTGAAGCGGGTAGTGCCCTTCTTGTTGGTTGTCTTTCGACCGGGGTTAGGACGACTGTGATTCGACCGAAAGGACTCGAGTACTTAGTAGTGAGATACCGCGGGCGCACAAGCAGTCCACTGCAGACTTTCAGACTTTCGGCCCGGTTGTGTAGACGGCGGGAAGCAAGCTTTCGAGGTCAGACTTGCCGATCATACACCTCCATCTGGACCCTCTGCATCAACACCGTCAGGCACGACTAACCCCCCCCCCCCCCGCCCCCCCCGGTGTTTGCCATCGGGGTTTGGGTTTTCGTCGCTTGGCAACGACGTTGTAAAACAAGCCCCCCACTCGGTGTTTGCCATCGGGATTGGGTTTTCGTCGATTGGCAACGACGTTGTAAAACAAGCCAATTCACTTCGTGAACTCGGCAACCAGGTTACCGTCTTTTTTTTTTACCTCTGTTTTTTTTTGGCGGTAACCATAATGGTGGTCGAGTAGATCATGTTGTGCGGGGTCGAGAAACCTCACTCCGCGCAACGGGGGATGATCGCACGTTGTGTTAAATTGGTCAAGCACCCTCGAGGCAGTTACACAGTGCTTCCAACTGTCTCTGGAATTGAAAGCACCAGAAAATAAATTAAGTCATACGTAGCTGTCATCCGTACGCAAGGAAGTAAGCACAAGATGCCGAACACCCTTAGCAGGATGCAGCTCACCCTTCATGCGACTCGCCGAATACCTCACGGCGCTTCGCGCTTGGTGATGTGAGAGCCTGGTCCGGTGAGAACCCGGCGTGCTCCGTCCCGGCTTTGTAGGGATGCGAGGTCAATGGTCAAACGACTACGGCATGCACGACTATGAGTACACCCCCCCCCCTCCCCCCCAAACGGCCACGCTTTGACCTCTTACCGAAGCTCCGCTTGGACCTTTCGCGCTTCTTCCAGCTCGGTCGCCGCCTCCGCCAACGCCCGCGCCAACTCCGTCACCCCCCCCTCGTTCCGCGTGGCCCCCTTCTCAGCGGCATCGGCGGTAGCTTCGCCACCAGCGCCGAGCGCAGCACCGGCCGCCACCGTCGGCGCAACACCCGGCCGCTCGCCCCCGCCGGAGTGGTGTCGGCCCCACCCGCTCCCCGCCACCCCCGCACCGTCGGGGACCGATCCAATTGGGTGCCCCCCGTCCAACTCTTCCTTGGAGGTATGGCTGGGAGCGGGGGGCGGCGACCCGCCGGGTTGACTTTCCGGCGTTCGTTCCGCGCCTGGCGCCCACCCTATGGAATGGATGGATCGGCAGGGAGACATGGGGGGGGGGGGGGGACGCGAACAGCCGAGACTTGAGGCGGGGGTGAGGCTAAGACGGGGGTGGAGTTCGCGAGTACCCAACAATCACCACAACCAAAAACCTACATCAGTATGTCACCAAGCTGATGGAAACAACGTAAACCTAATGCAGACAACAGGATTGAGGCGCACCTGGGGCACCCCACGAAGCTCCTTGCCCCCACGGGTCTGCCCAATCCCAGTCTGCGTCCCCGTGCCCCATCCCGTCGTAGCCATACTGCTGCTGCTGCGGCTGCTGCTGCTGCCGCTGCTGCTGCTGCTCGTGCTGAGACGGGGACCCTGATCCCCAAAGGCCTCCATTCTGCCCCACCGGGGAAGGGCTCTGCCCGTCCGTGCCGCCCGCGCCGGTTGATCCCGCCGCCGTCCCTACGTACCCGGCAGGCCCGCTCCCGCCCGGCAACATCCCTCCGTCGCCGTCGTGGCCCTCCCAGGCTGGCGGGCTGCTGCTAGCGGGGTGCTCTTCGTGTGTCAGCGGTTCCTGCGAGACCAAGAACCACTCGTCAGTCGTCCCGTCTGCTGCTGCTGATGGCGCCGCCGCTCCTCCGTTTTCGTCGGCGATGGTCTCCTCAGTGCCCGACGCTGACGCTGCTAGCCGCGCTTCGTCGGCTCCTGCCCCCGCGGCGCCCAGTACCCCGTCGTGTGTTCCCATCCTCCCGCCGCCCTCGCTCTGCCCTGCCAGACCATCGCCCGTCGTTCCCAGCTCTGCTACCCGGCCGGCTCCGGCGCTCGCGGCTGAAGGAGCGATGTCGGAAACCCCTGTCCACCACTGGTCCTGATCGCCGGCGCTGCGCTGCTGCTGGTCAGTTGCCTCGATAGCACAAGCGCCTCCGTCCCCATCAACTCCGTCAGATTGCGCACCAGAGGGGTCCTCAGCAGCAGCAGCAGCAGCGACTCCCTCTCCAGCGACACCGCCTTCCGGTCCTACGCCAGCCGGGGAAGCCTGAACAGCGGGGCCTGCCAAGCCTCCCGCGACAAACGAACTACTACTCCCCGCCCGCGGCGGCTCGCTACCCTCCGCCGCCGCCGATTCTTCCTCGTCCCCCCACCCCTTCGCTTGCGGCCCCTCCCACCGCTCGTTTGACGCACCAGGAGGCTGCTGCTGCTGCTGCTGCTGCTGTTGCCCGTCGCCGAAAGCTTGAGGATCGTCCGGCAGCCTCTCGTGCCGCGATCGACCCCCTCCCGCCCCCTGGCCGGAGTGACTCCACCCCTGGTCCCCCGCCCCTTGCCACTGCTCTTGGGAGCGCTCTTCCCGCGGCGCGCCACGGCCCCCGGCGGGGGCTGCACCGCGGCTCTGCCATTGCTGTTGCTGCGGCTGCGGCTGCTGCTGCTGCTGCTGCTGCTGCCTCGCAGCCTGGCGTCGCAAGCCAAACCAGCCCCGCTTCCTGGCCCCATCGCCACCGGCAGAGGAGGAGGGTGGGCGCCCTCCCCGATCCGGAGGCTGTGAGGAGAAGTCTCGCGGGGAAGAAGAAGGCGACCGCGGTTCGTTGGTTCCGGCGGCCGTGAGATATCCAGGTGTCGCCGCCGAAGCAGCCGATGGAGCCACCGCTGTTGTTGGATCAGCAGTCGTGGTGGGACGAGGCTGTTCCCACGTCGTTTCGCCCGTCTTCTCGTTGTAAAACTGCGACGACCGACCACCACGGGCCCCACGGAATAACGAATGAAAGTAGAACGGACAGGGGGACGAGGGGGGCCAAGTGCGAGCGGTGTGACCGAAGTGACGCATGTACGCATACACCACCATCAGTGGGTTGTCGGCATGCCATGTGCAGAGTAAGCACGCTTGGATTCGGCGATACAATGCACGTTGGGTCTTGCGATTTGGTGTTAGGTGGCAAGAGGGTGGTGGGGGAAGGATGAGTAAGGCGGCGGGGGCGAAGGAGGTACAGCAATACCTCGGGAGGTACAGCAATACGGTAGGTGACATAAGAACCACACCCCTATTGAAATGTAGAGAAAACCACACCCGTGAGATGATTTTTTTTTCAGTCCTGGAAAAAGCACCGACATACCACACGGGCGCAGAAGAAGCACAGAAGATACCACCCCCCCTTTATTGAGCCGAAAATACATATCCACGGAGCCCCGTATCACACCGGTCTTACACTGGTGTGGTACATGGGCCGTGATCACGCATAAAGCGCATGCAACCCGGCGCTAAAGGTACGGTGACGGACAACACAGCGGAGATGAACGAAGCACACACCACTGCTGAAAGCATCGCGGCTCAGATGGCAGTGGGTCAGACTCCAGCGGCGGCGCCACGGCCAATTACGTCATTTTTTTCTGTGGTCCTTGAGACCTCCCGCACCACCCGCTGTGTTTGCCACCGCCTGTGCTGCTGACGCACGCACATGATATGTGTAACGTTATCACACTCCGTGATTATACACTACCTCGAAATTCATACCCCCTGTAGGGTTGTGTGGACGCAGTTCATCATACGGGTGATATTTTCAGGCCCCATCTTTTTCTGTGCCAGATGGCCTTGTCTCTGCTTGCGTTGTGAAGTACCAAGATTGAACCAAGGGGGTGTACCTCTTTCTCTCCGGCCCATGATAGTGACTCCTAGTCTCAGTTGATACCTCGCATAGCGCGCAGAGGGAGTGGAGGATTCCAGAACATCTGTCGTTGATTTCTATTGACATGCGGACCCCTCGGGGTCAGTTTATTTGAGTGTACCTTTTTAGGGTAAGTTAACCTGTGACCACGGGAATCGACCGCGTCGAGTGTTGGATCAGTACGGACATACGAAGGTACTGGGTAGGGAGAGATCGGAACGGTTTTTAATGTGAAGACAACAACAACAACAACAACAATACCACAGCCCTTTGTTATTATACCCCTGTAGGTGGGGTCGTGCGGGCGCACTTTATCCCACGGATGACATTATCACACCGCATCTTGATCACACACCCTGCGGGGTGGAGTCCTTTGAACGTAGTTTTTTCACACGGATCACACAAGAACACCCCCCTATTTCAAAACAAATCATCACACGCGTGTGGTGTATTATGTCACCTACGGCGGTAGTTGGTTGTTGAGGGTGGGTGTACTGCTGTGTTCACAAAAGAAATGAGAATGCCGGCCACACCTACAATTGTAGATACGCCAAATCAGCGGGTGCACCGCCAGCAGAAGACGACAGCACTGGTGTTTGGTTTATAGGAACACGTGATTCTCAGGAAAGCACCTGCTCAGTTGGTTACCGAAAGAGGCGGAGAGACGGCACCCCCCCTAGGTCGACGTTCAAAGCTTGCTTGCTCCCCAACCAAAGGGGGTGCGGAAAGAGCGCGATACTGCGTCCACGGATATATCTCGGACGCGATGCTTCCAAAACCACCATCCTTCATGTTCACAATCTTAGTCCTGGTTGTGGAGCAATAATGTGGAGCTTTGAAGATTAGTCTATACGAGGGATGCCATATCTCCGCCTCTTTCGGCACTACAGTAGCAGAGCCGACACCAAAGCAGTACTGCAGTAGTTGTAATACGGTTACAGCAGTGCTGTGAACTGGTTCAGTCTGCATGCAGTACATGTGTTACGAAGCTCAAGCTCAATGAAGGTCTGTGGGTAAGATTACGTACCACATGACGCTGGTAAAACGAACCGAAGATAAAGATTTCGAAATTCTGCCAGCATGCCAGAGGCACACATGCCAAATAGTACAGGCAAAAAGCTCTGCACACAACGATTCGAGAGGATCCAAGGTTGCTCTTTCTCAGACCAGCACAAGCAGCACACGCCAAAGAGAGCAAAATGCCCAGGGAAGCGCACACGCCACGCGGCGCTCGGTAGGACCGAGCGAGGCTACAAGTACCGCAGTACATCTTACGCCGTTGTGGAGAAGCACACCCAACGTCGGTTGCCTCACGTAGAACTTCCGAACCGCTCGACCATGAACAAAACAAGCAGCACCCCGAGCTTCATCAGACGAAAGACTTTGGTTGTTCTCGTTTAGTAATCATGCTGTTGTTATACCCGCCAAAAGCCCGAGTCGTTGTGTCGTTGTACTGCTGTACATGTCGAAGTCCCCCAACTCACATATGGTGTGTCCTGCTGGAAATGGACTGTCCATCCCGGGGGCACGCTCGGTGGTGACACTCCACTGAGGCACCCGCCAGCAAGGCTAAGAGCCAAAGCAGCTGCTCGCGGCCAGCACCTCGTCGAATGTCGTCGTCGTGTAGCCATCGTGGTGTGTGTGCCTGCTTTGCTTGTGTTGTGCGTTGTGTGTTGTGCCTCGTCTTTTGGTTCAGCCTCGGAGGCACCACAAATGGCAGTTCCATGTATGTGCCACTATCCAAATTTGATTTTGCGCTGCCCCTTCTCCCGAACGAGCTTGCTTGGCGTCGGCGTGGCCACTCTCTGCTGGCCACCGCAGTGCAACAGCAGCCGACATAAGCTTCCGGTGTGTGGGAAACTGCCAGACAAGCCTGGGCCGCGCTTAATTTTCACAATACAAGACATAAATCATGGTGAGTCGGCCCATCTTTGGTCGCCATTGTTGTTGTGGTACCTGAGTACTTCAAATACTTGCTGGACCCCACCCCAGACCCTCGATCCCACTGAGTCGGACTGCTGCTGCTGTGATTACGGTCAAGGGTACGCAAGACTAGAGACACGATTTTATTGTCATGTTTCTGTCGGAGGTTCCATCATTTGGTTGCGTTGAAGACCAAGCCATGGCATCACCCTTGCTGTTATATTGTCGGCATTCGCAAGATCTTTCGCACCCAACGTCTTACACTGCAGTTGCACCGCAGATGGTCACCCAGCTAGGTGAAGGTGTGCAGCCAGATCCATGACTGTCATACCTCAATCAGTTGTAGGTTTTTGGCTCCCCGAGCCCGTTGAAGATGGCTAGGCGGAGGCTGAGATCAGGTCGAGACTCCAGGGTTGTTGGCGTACCTATGCAATTTCAAGCTTGACAAAGGCGTCGTAATGGTGTACACGTATCGCCCCAGTGCGTGTGGGTTGTTCAACCGCTGGTTTGCCTCTCTAGCAGTTGATTTAAACCGCGATACATATATCGGGACGATTGCGCGTTTTCTTCTTGGTCCGGAGATGACGTGACACGATTCCGCTTGCCACGGCCTTTCGCTCGATCGTGCTGGCGTTCCCAACACCGCTCATCGGCAGTCTTTCTCTACATTGTAGCCCAGTCGTCTAAATCTCCAGATGCCAGATGCTGAGAAGATTTGTTCCGCCGCCAGCCCTGCTTCTCCCTCCCGCGAATTTTTCCGTCTGAATCTGAATCTCGCCCACGGGCTCATCTTAACACCTAAACTACTGACAAAGTCATTCCGACCCCCCCCCCCCCCCTTTCTTCATTCTCCCGATCCCATCCGTGCGTGCCCCTAATTTACCCTCGTTTCTGCAGGGGTACCACACGATTCTCTTGGTCCAGCGAGACTCGGTTAACAGTAGGATGTACTACGACCTCCCGTCCACAAGCCAAGCAATGGAACGTGAGTACCAGCTACCCCACACACGCACACACACATGTACGGATGGAAGGAGAACGAGGGTGTATTTCATGTTCTGGTCCACGCCACGGCGTATGAATCTATTTATCTTTGGAAATGTTATGTTTTCGAAGTCGGGTCGAACGTTGGTCCCTAAGCAGGGCGTAGTCGATGCCGCTGTGATGACCAACACCTTGAGACACAGCCCCAGCAAGACTCACGCAACGCACAAGCAAGCAGTGCCTCGCAGCAGCTAAGAGACCATCCGCCACCGTATATGTACCCACCTTGCGCTGGGCTGCACGAGCGCATTGGGAACCCTGACAACCGCCGAGAGTTTAACCTGGTCAGTATGGGTTGTGCTGTTTAGGGGGGAAGGCACGCTTGTTGCTGATTCCAGGATTCCTTCCTCATCGGAACAAAAACACTTCCATTCACTTTCGTAGGTTAAGGAGATGGTTGCATATCCCCGCACATGCGGGGCAATCGGTCAAATGTCGCCTTTCGTTCTTTCGGTCGCAGGCGTGGTAAAAATGTACGAGGCTCGGTTGAAGGAGGTCAACCCGCGCCAGGTTCACATCACGTACGATATCACCGACCTATACGGCTTCATCGACGAACTCGGAGACTTGAGCGCTCTCGTGTGAGTGTTTGTTTCCAATGTCATGTATGTATGCATGCGTCCGTGGCGTTTGCTGTCGTGGCCCTTGCTTTCCGGTCTGCCTTGTGCGGAGTTTCTCTAGCACGTCCATACCCCATGCTGACTTGGAAACGGGTATGCTGGCTTGGGTCAAGCAGTTGGACACAATTTTTCGGCCACGTTTGCAGGGATCCATCAGAGCCTGTGGGCACACGATTGGTGTTGTGTGCCGCCGCTTTTTTTGTAGAGTCGCCAAACACCGCAAATCTCCAGAATGCTCGTTTTCTGACAGCATTTCCCTGAGTGCACATGTCCCGAATGATTTGGTTCCGAGGAAATCCCGCCAGAACATCATGTGCATTTCGAAACGGAATCCGGCCAATTTGTTTGTGGTCATTGTTGTTTGTCCCTGTGGAAGAGAACCCACGCACAATGATTCTACCAAGCCAAGACGAATCACATCAAGTTCAGCCGTTTATCGGGTGTTTGTTGCGATTTCACTCCTCCTCCTGCCACCTTCCCTGCGTGTTCTGCGGCGGCCAACCTGTGTCGCAAAAAAACAAAAAAAAACAGGGCAAACACGGACACGGGGATGTACACGCCACACGGCAAGGCGTGGATAAAGGAGTACCTCTTCAAGTACTTCCAGCAGCAGGCCGAAACCTAGGCCACGTGGCATGGTCCCGTCGGGAGCTTCACCACGCTCTCGGGTAACGCGCCACTCGTTGTTGGATCTTGTAGATTATTCGGCGACTTGTAGACTTTGGGCGAGGCAGGTGTTAGTGTATGGCACCCCCGGGGAAGAGAGATTAGTATTGGCATTCGCCTAGACCCCCCCCCCCCCTCCCCCCCATACAAACGTGTATCCTCTTTGTCATTTTTTTTTTTTTTGAAATTTTGTTGGTGGATGAGAGGTGGTGCGTCCCTCCCCCTGCCTGTTGCTCGTATGGTGGTTACCGTATCACCTTGAGGCAGGCAGGACACGACGCGTGTCGTGGTGTTGAGCTTGGGTACCAGGCACTGTAGTTTCTCTCAAAGTTTCTCTCAACGGAAGAAAGGTGGGCATCGGCGCTGGCGTGCAGCGAGGCTGAGTCGAGTGTACGCACGGTGACAGTGTGAATGGTTTTAGCCGGGAGGTGCACGCAGGCACTGGAAGGGTATTCTATGTTCTTTTCGGGCCAGGCTGGGCCAAACGCTGGCAGAGCACGTGGACGAGATTTGTATGAGCCTCGGCCCATGTTTCTTCCTGTTGGTCAAAGTCGGTGCCGCGTTGAATTATGATTGGCCGAAGTAGGCAGTGTCCTTCTAGCGTGCGACTGGATGCTGCCCCGAATATGTTCATGAGCTTCGTTGGCGCACGAGTTCCAGGCCTTGATAAAAACATGGTCTTCAATTATCCGTTCCACTGCCGTTGGTTTACCCTTAAAGCTCAAATTGGATGGGGGGAAAGAAGGCAGCTATCGGGTAGAGGAGTGTTGACGAATTGCTTCACGATTGAGGGACAGATGCTGTTGTTTGCTAATTTCATCAGCCTAGGCGGTTTGGGCCGTCCCAACAGACAAAAAATCGAACCAGATGTCGCTGGAGTTTTCGGTGATGTTACAGTACCGGTTTTCCGGGCGTTTACTCGTGAACGAGCCTGGACGGAAGTCAGCGGCAGCATGTGCTTCATGGGAACCTTAGCGCGTATGCGACATTCCAACACAACCCCTACTTACCAGGCACTCCATCGATGTTTGTTTCAGGATGCATCCATCCCTGTCCAGAGACCTCCATCCCATCACGACTAGTCTTTACTCAAGTATGATGCGAGTGTTTTGGGTGTTTGGGAGGAGCCCCCCACAACAACATCTGGTGTGCCTCGCGAATTCGGAACAGATTTTTACGGTGTGGTTGGTCTGACCACAGCACGTTCTTCGCTTTCCCCAACAACTATGGAACACTGGGCCTGCTTCCAAGGCTGGGTTGACCCTGCCCGGAGGCACACGGCATACTCTGTCATGTTTCACGTACAGCGTATGTATCTTTCCGGTCAAGACCGGGCACATGGAACGACGGAAGGAATGACGAGTGAGTTGGAGTGAGGTAGAGAAACCCATATCAAAGAAAGTAGTATGAAGACGGGCACATGGCGGGGACTACTGGACACCGCCCAATTATCACATATACACAACCAACCGAAGAGTGGCCAGAGATGGAATTTTGATCAAAGGTTTGTGTACAGGGGCTAACCATATAATTCTGCGCGAAATCCGCCCCCCCGCTCTCGTCCTGTTCTCCTGATTATTTTTGTTGTATTGGCGGCGAGGCACAATGAATGAATGGCAGTACCAACGCTGCTTTCAGTTGGACGTGGCACAAGAACAATTCGTCAAAACACGGTGGCAGCAAAGAAACGTCTAATAATAATGTAGAAAAGAGACAAGGGCGTAGTCTAGACTAAAGCACCTGAGACCATCTGGCAAGCCGTTTGGGTTCATTCCGCTCACTCTGCTGCTGCTGTGCTGCAAAATACTGAGATATGTACACGCGGAAATAAAGACGCACGTGAGGAAAAGAAAGTCCAAAAACGGAAAAAGAACTGGCGGAGCTGAAATAAACTTACTGATCACATCCCATCCTCGGCGATCCATCAAATAAGTCAGCCAACACTTCGTTTTTTGCCACGATGACCGCGGCAGACACCAATCAATCAATTTCAGATTTTCGAATATTCAAGGATCAACCAAGATCTCCTGTAAACCCAAACAAATGTTTTTCGCAGGTAACCAACCAACGCGCACAGATCCCAGCTGTACTGCAGGGTGTGGAGGAGTAGGCCCCACGTGTCTACGGGAACGCGTGCTGTGCTTGTGGTACCAATACATACACTGCATAGATATACACACAACAGACAGCAGCACAGCAGTAGTTGCAGCTAGGGGACCCGCCATGGGGATACTGTATTTAAGGGGGATGACCATCCTGTCCTATCAGCGTGGCGCCCTCGAATACCCACCGCACCGCCGCACGCACATATGTGCTGTATGCATCGCTTTCGCATGTTGTCTCGAGGCACCGCCGTAGCGACAATGGCGGCCCTTTCCACGGCCTGCCGTGCCGTCGCGTTCGTTCCGACTTTCACGTCGAACGCCGCGATTGTCGGCAGCGGAAGAGCCAGGCAGTTGATCGGCCCTGCTGCTGCTGCTGCCGCGGCACGGCGTAGCAGTAGCAGTAGCATCAGCCGCTCGCTCGGAGTCTCGCCGGAGAGGAGGGGGGCGGGAAGCAGCCGCCGTCGCCACGGCGTACAAATGATGATGAGTAGTAGCGCACAGGACACGGCAGAGGTGGAGACTCTGACGGCTAGCATCAAAGCAAAGGGAGATGAGATAAGAAGGTCAGCAGGGGGGGGGTGTTAGCAACCGTTTCACTGGTGCGACACGTGTACTTTACATTTGTAGGACGGGAAAGCCCAGCGCTTATGTCTATGCACGAATGCGTTGCCCAGCTATTGTACACAGCGGAAAGAGCACAACATGCGCTCATGTCATCCTCGGCGTCAAAATCACGAATGCAGGTAACAGAGAATCAAATGCACCAGCCTCCTCGCTCGTCGGTGTCAAACGAAAAACGGCAAATTGCAGAAAATAGTGATGAGGTGCATGCGCATGGCCAACGGCCAACTCAGGAAGTGGCAACCCTCCTGCTGTAGCTGACACATGTGTCGACTACAGCTTTTTTAGAAAATATACATGCAAATCACTCAAAGACAACCCGTTGAGATAATACCACAGTCGAGGGAGGATGTTTGAGTTGACGGTATTATTTAAATAGATTTGCTGCCTGACTCATCCTGGATGCAGACAGCGAAGAACTTGGCAACAAAGAACTTCCTGCTCAACAGTTTTTTCAAGTACAAGAACTTGAGCACACCATTTTTGAAGGTCCGGTTGAGAATCCCTGCACCAGAACCTGTTTAGCGGCCATTTGTAGCCCACTATGCATAGGGACTAAGAACCCCAACCTCACCCAAAACTAGAGGTTCTGTAGTGCGGCGGCTACAGTATCTGTATGCGACTCGGCTACCAAAGCGGGCTAGGTTGCGACGTTGCGACGGCAGCTCCTAGTGTGGTAGGGGCCCCCTTCGCCTGTGCGACCCCCCACACTCCGAACACCCATCCTGTATTCTGTTTAGCTCTCTCTAGATATGTCGTTGTCGGGCGTGGCAAAAATTGCGTGTAAAGCCCGCAAGTGGATGTGCGTTGTGTGGTTTCTTTAAAATAGTCGGCATCGACCGCGGAAACCCGCTGACCAATGACAAACACTTACATAGTCTGTTTGTGCGACCCCGACCTTGTGTTCGTGTTCTTCTTTAGTTTGCATCTATAGCCATAAATGTCTGGCCAACAGGAAGACGTCAGTGTCACCCGGAGAAAAAAAAAAGAACGAAAAACGAAGCACCTGCGTTTGTGCCAAGAGGGGTCGGAAAAAATGTGGGCCGTTCCTTGCTCGCCAGAAACAGCCCAAATAACCGCTTTTGTGGGCGCGGCCTGGTCCAGCCGGCACACAACCTCTAGACCAGACCGAAGAGATTTCTCGCATTTTTACAACCGCTACCTGTATAGAACATCCCACTCACTAGCAGGGAGCAGCTGAACACGGCACCGCAACAACGGGAACACTTCAAGCTACATGCCGGATTCGGTGTGGAAGATGGTGTTTTACTATCGGTTTTAGACTCGGTAACACCCGTGTAGACATTTGGGGGTGGCCTGAGTCCCACGCTCTGTGGCATCGCTCACCCTTCGCGAGAATCAGACGTTTGCCGCGTTGGCGTGTGCATCCCCGCCGAGTGCTTGTGTTTCGAAACAACTTGCCGCTTGTCCTAGTTTCAGTGAGGATAACCTCTACCAGCAATACAGTAGTATCTCGCCTTAGCGTGGGCGACGCCAGAACAACGTTGCATGTGGGTTTTCGAGACAAAGACTTCTGTGCCGTAAAAATCTTCTCCATCCCCCATCCATCTTGTCGCAGTCTGAAAGAGGGAGGGGCGGACAAGGAATCCCTCGGCCCTACGATCGCGGAGTTGGTCGCTCTGAAGGCGGACTTCGAGCGGGTGACGGGGTCGCCGTTCGACACCCCTAAGAAGACCAAGGCCAAGAAGACGGCCCCCGCTGATGACAAAAAAGTGAGAGCAAGAAGATTGGGGGGGGGGGTTGAGGTCGTGCGGGTTGCGGTGTTGATGAAAGGTTCCACGTGATTCTTTGAATGGCGTCGACCGCGCTTCACGCGTGTGGTTGTGTGGTTGTAAATATGCGAGGTGGAGGGGGGTCTGTCTTTCTTTGAATAGCATGGACCCCGCTAACCGGCTCGCCAAGAAAAAGACGTGTGCGGGTGTGTGGGTGTTTCGTCGTTTGACATCGACCTTGCGAACCATTCTCTGTGTGTGTGATTGTGCCCGTCACGTGAGGGAGAGAAAAGAACAAAGCCGTGTCTCTTAGCCCGAAGACGCACTCCAAAACCAAGTCGTTTTTAAGTCGCACGTCGTCAAGGCAGGCACGCACGCGCGCCCTAGCACGTGTCCGTTGCTCGCACAAAGCGTCCATGTCTCTAGTGTTTTGATTCTTCGTCGGGATACTTTCTCGATACCGACCTAACCCGCATCCAATTCCTCCTCTGCCGCACTTGTCCAGCCCGAAAGAAGCGTGTTCTTCATTCCTTTTTTTTGTTCTTATTTTTGCGCGCATGGTCAGGGCGGGAACGCTTCCAAGGCCGACCAACAGGCGTCTCGCCGCATCACCCCAAGGGCGGAGAACTTCAGCCAGTGGTACTTGGACATCATCGCGGCGTCGGAGATGACGGAGAACAGCCCCACGAAGGCGAGAACCAAACCCTTTTTTCAGAAGATTTTTCGTCGGTTTGTCAAGGACTTGAGTGAGCAGGCCGTCTCGTTGCGTGGATCTCTGTTTTAGAGGCCGTCGGTGGCGCAAGGTACCGATTCTCAAAGCCCGATTACTAAAATTCCAAAAATAAGTATGACGTCTACGTTATAGGGAAAGCCCATCAACGAGACGATCCCAAGGCCGCCATTTTCGGTACCGCTACTGTTGTTTGTGCTTCGGTAGTCAGACTTTGAAAGTCTGTTAAGGGGGTGTCGTATCTCATGTCATGTCACCGACGGTATCGGTGTGTTTATGAAGAAATGAGCGTTCCCGTTTGGTTTCCATTCTCCATCTTCGACATGTCACCCGGGTATCGGAGATGACGTAGAACAGCTCCGCCAGGGTGAAACGTAGAATAGCGTTTTGCGCTGTTTGCTGTAGTCGGAGATGGCCGAGAAGAGTCGGGCAAGCGTGAACGGCGAAACGGAGGTTGTTTCTACGTATGATTGCGGCAAGTTGCGTCTTGTGTAGGACCTCTTTCGCATGGGCGTTTCCTTATTAGTCGAGCCAGCATGAATTAAGAGTGGGGGGTTTCGTGTCCCTACCCCTACCCCTGACCATCAACCCCACCCCGTACCTCCTACTGAAACCAAGCTGAACATCCCCACTAAGGCTACCGCACGTGTGTGTTCTGTCTGTTCATAACGTCGTATCATGCTGAAAAGCATGTAGGTTGTTTATCTTCGTGGCTTCTTGGCCCCTGTTTGACCGTGGCAAGTGTGCATTGTTTTCGAGAGAAAGTGGGGTCGTGAGAAAAAAAGAGGGTGCGGCCGGCCCGCTGTCTACCTGTACGTGGGTTCAGCATGGCCCACTGGCTATATTATGTAGCAACACCCCGATGGAAGACAGATCTCCGACTGGTCACCTGAAACGTCACTGCATGCCCGTGAGGCATTCACGTAGGAAATCTGCTCCGCCCAATAAATGTTTTAGTGCCCAAAAAAATGTGAGCTGCACTTGCGTGGTGGTTTCGATTATATGCATTTTGTTTGCTCACGTTACCTCGCGGAAAATGGGAGATGGTGGACAGAGGACATCTCTGTCCATGGCGGGGGGGGGTGGGGTGGTTCTGTTTCTGCTGCATTCAAGGCTTGTACCTGTTTCAGCGTTTGTGGTTGCTTTTGTACATGGCTTGAGCGACACGCAGTTTGACGGTAACATCGTCCGTGCTATCCCTTCCCGTCCAAGTGTTGGTTTCGTGCGTGCTTCTTCCGGTGCCCTTCGAAAACTCTTCCGTTTTTGCATTCCATCCCACCCACCGCCCCAACCACAAACGACAGGGCTGCATGGTGATCAGGCCCTGGGGCATGGCTATCTGGGACGCCTTCAAGGACGATATGGACAAGGTGGGGCTTCCGTATTGCCGACTGACGCGCGGATCGTTTGATGTTGCTCCGCTTGTTTCCCCTCGCTGGTACATACCCGCAGTCCCCTGTCACCTGTCCCCTCCCCGGCCTGCCGCGCAGGGTAGCCTCCCCAACTTTCCGTAGCATCGGACATCTTTCTACTACAGTATTTTGTTTTCGGTGCAATGCTGCTGCTTCTCGTTCTGCTACTCTTGACTCTCTTCCTTTTTTCTGCTCTCCTGTCTCTCTCCCTCTCGCTCTCTCTTTCTGTCCCTCCCTCCCTCCGCCCATGCCCCTCCCGTCGTCGTCTTCTTGGTCGGCAATCACGAGGCAGCGTATCAAGACGTACGACGTAGACAACGCGTACTTCCCGCTGCTGATCCCCCAGAGCTTCCTCACCAAGGAGGCCGAGCACGTCGACGGTTTCGCCAAGGAGTGCGCCGTGGTGACCCACCACCGCCTGTGCAAGTCGGACGACGGCACCCTTATCCCGGACCCCGAGGTGTGTGTTAACTGGATCATGTCATTTGGTCCTATTAACTTTGGTCCTACGTAGTGGTAACCCTGTACATATGTCCGTGTTTTCGTACTACGTGAAGAGGGAGCGGAGGATCCCAGAATATCTGTCGTTGATTTCTATTGACTTGCGGACCCCTCGGGGCCAGTTTATTTGAGTGTACCTTTTTTAGGGTAAGTTAACCTGTGACCACGGGGAATCGACCGCGTCGAGTGTTGGATCAGTACGGACATACGAAGGTACTGGGTAGAGAGAGATCGGAACGGTTTTTAATGTGAAGACAACAACAACAACAACAACAACAACAACTATGAGTGTGTGTTCGCTCTCCTCTCTCGTCTTTCTTTGCTGCTGCTGGTCGGTTGTCTTGTGTTTTGGAGAGAGTGTGCTATTAATAGCGTTGAAAGGAACGTGTTGTAGCCGCTCGGGACAATGCCCATCATTCGAGATAATACCCGACGGGTAAGTGTGTGTGTGTGGGTGCTCTATCTCTCTCTCTCTCTCTCTTTTTCTTTGCTGCTGCTGGTGCCTTTTCTTGTGAGAGAGTGTCCACAACGTTCGAAGAAAGGTTTTGTAAACGTTCGAGACAATACGTTGCCGCTCGCTGGTCTTTTCGTTTAGAAAAAGTGTGCGTGCATAGCGTTCAAAGGACGATTTCGCAGCAGTTCGAGACAACATACTCTTGTCGCTCGCTTGTATTGTATTTTGGAAGAAGTGTGCAATCGTTCAAAGGGAGATTTCGGAACCGTTCGAGATAATACCCCGTCGTTCGATAAAATACCCCGTTCGAAAGCGGTTATGTGTTGAATGAAGTCTTCGCGCTGGGGGTTTGAGGGGCATCTGCTGGATGATACTGTACTTGTTTTGGTCTGTGTTTTATTTCTTATTCGTCGTTAATCATCCTGTTCATATGCATATCTACGTTACGATACTTTTTCTTGTGGCCATCCCGAGTGTTGGAAGAGACAACACAACGCTTGTCCCGCATGTGTATTTTCCCTCCTGGTGTTGTTTTTCGTGCCCTGAACCGAATGACCAAGCCCGCGAACGGGAAGCATTCCTCTCGTGGTTCGAAATTAGCCTCTAGTTTATCGCTTTGCTTTGGTTTTCTGTACCGACTCTTCGAGGTTTCCTTACCTGGTTTGAGCTCCCCGTCAGCGGACCCTGTTGCTGATGTCCAAGAGTTGTCTGCGTGTATGTTGTGGTCGTTGTATGATAGCAGTCGGATGCCAGGGTCGGGGTGTCACAGCCAGGCGACCCGTTGCAGGTTATGGTGATGTGGAGAATCAGGAATACCTGGGGGTGCCGAGCCTTGCTCGTTTTTTTCTTGTACCCTTGCGTTCTCTTTTTTGTGTGTGTCCGGTGGGTATGGCAGTGTAGTGTAGAGGCACATTGGGTAGCGGTAGTAGTGCGTTGTGCCTTCATCCGTTTCGTTCGACTGTTCGTGTTTTCGACTAACCCTAGCGTTACCCCTTACCCCTATTATCCGCAGGCGAAGCTGGAGGAGCCGCTGGTCGTCCGCCCTACAAGCGAGACTGTCATCTGGACCATGTACAGAAAGTGGATAGACAGTTACAGGTGCAGCTCGAGAAAAAATTAACGTCCGCCGAGACGGTTTTCATGCGGAAGGCGGCGTGTCGTCGTCGGTGGCTATGTGCATCACAAGAGCACTTGCGCTGATTTCTGTGTTTCCGTTTTTAGACAAGGTGCACGGCATCACAGACTTGTACCTGTTCGAGTTGTGCTGAAAAGGGTATGCGTTGTGATCTTGCCTGCAGCTTGTGGTCGGTAACTGCAAGTAGTACAACAGCAGTGCTGTTTCTGTGTTTCCTCTTCTTTTTTTTCTTTTTTTCTGACAAGATACATGACGTCACAGACCTACCAAGTCGAGGTATGTCCGCTTTATGGACCATGCGTTTTTGATCCCGTCATGGGTGTTGCTGCAGCTGCTGAGTCGCCAACATCCCTGCCCTCTCTGGGCATCCGTGTGTGTGTTGATCGTCACGCGCAAAACCGTTATAGAGACCTCCCTTTGAAGCTCAACCAATGGGCAAACGTGGTCCGGTGGGAGATGCGGACGAGGCCGCTGCTGAGGTCGGCGGAGTTCCTGTGGCAGGAGGGACACACGGCCCACGCCACCAAGGAAGAGGCTTTGGTGAGTATCTGCTGTAACGGCTGTAGAGGATCTTCTGTGTCATTCCTCCTACCCCCCCCACCGCGACTCGCCGAACATCTCACGGCGGTTCGCGCTTGGTGATGTGGTGCTAACCTGGTCCGGTGAGAGCCCGGCGTGCTCGGTCCCGGCTTTGTAGGGATGCGAGGTCAGTGGTCTTACGACTACGGCATGCACGGCTTGAGTATGAGTGGTACGGTTAGCTTCCGTCGTTGGCAAGTGTTGCCGGTGCTTCGACGGCTTATTTCCCGGGGCGAGGCGGGACAACCATAAAG